ATCGTAAACTAGTCTGTTTAAATCTTCACGTATTACATCATTGAAAAGGGGGCACTTTAACCTAACTGCATCATAAGTTTAGATATACGGATTTTTTTCTAACCATTAACTAGAACTAATAAATCGCATTATAATTTTCTTCAGAAATTAGTTCGAAGTGTAACTAAAAGTAAAATTAACCTACTAGAACTAGAAACGTTTCTAGTTTTAGGTTTAGTGTTTGTTCTAATTTTAGTTCAATAAAAATATACAACAATCTAGCGCTGAATAACAATTAAAACTAGACCGAGAACTAGAAAGTTTCGGGTTTAGCCCGAAACTGCATGCAGATAATTGCAGAAGACTAGATACTGCTTGAAAATGACCACCTATTGCTTGCACAAACCAAATACTGGTGGCAGAGGACTAGATATTAAGAAAGGAAGACTAGATACTATTAATAATATCTTCTGATATATTATGGTCACTCTAATTTGAACTGCATCATATTCCTTGGCAATTCTAAAATAGGAAGTATGAAAAATAATATTTTTGCCACTTTTTATTTCATTAAAACTTCACTTTTTCTTGAATTTTAGTAAATTTCGAGTTGAGCAGAAATTATGGTCACGCTAGTTTGAACTGTAACATGTTCCTCATGACCTCGTGATCTCAATAATAGCAAGTATGAACAAAAAAATTCATTTACTGTTTTCTATTTCTTTGCAACACTAGTTTTTCTTAAATTCTACCATTCAGAAACTAAAAGTAAGTTCGAAGTGTTCAAAATATAGAATAACTTGGTGCGGAATAACAGCTAAAACTAGAATTAGCTTAATATAATCACTAGAACTAACATTAAACCTAGAACTAGAAATATTTAAGTTTCTCGAATGTTTTTAGTTCTAGGTTTAGCGTTTGTTCTAGTTTTAGTTCCATAAAAATATACAACAATCTAACGCTGAATAACAATTAAAACTAGAACTAGAAAGTTTCGGGTTTAGCCGTGCGTCTTCAGACGTAGTAATACAAGATTTGGCACCGCTTGTAGATATTTGCAGAATACTTGAAAAAGACAACCTGCTGATTGCACAAACTAGATACTGGTGGCAGAGGAGTAGATATTAAGAAGAGAAGACTAGATACTACTATCAGAAG